AAGGTCGTGCTGAAATGTCAGAAAAGTCTTGACAGAGCGTGATTGCTGTAAAGTAGCTTAGCCCAACTTCTTTTGTGCCGTCCAGGGCGCTGGGGAGTGATGTTGGCTCATCGACAATTGAAGTCCTTCAGGCTGATTTGTCGAAATCTTGGTCTTGGCGCCCACAAAAAATCCAAAGTTGAAGACCCCTCGAAAATGTCAGTCCCAGCATGATCTTCAAAGAACTGTTCCCCCTCTCGTTCCACATCTCAGCCGCCTGTCTTCCTCAAGATGTATAACCCCATTAGAGCATCAGTCCCCCATAAACCAAGACCAGAGCTTTGTATGTTATGACTTTATTTCCTCCTTGCTGGTATATGTAGCATCGTAAATTTGTAGTGGGTGATGGTTGGTAACAAATGAGGCAAGCTCCTGTTTGCAGTTGCGGTGACGGCATTATCGGCCGTTAAGGCAAAATGATGTATGGTTAGAAAGAGGTTGAGGACTCAGAAGATAATGGTGAGTGCTCCATGATTGAGAAGTCGTCAAATGGAGATATACATTTGTTTGCTTGCGACTTCGATTCGGATGCGATTCTTCTTGGCTATCCCAGATATGCAGAGCATACTGAGCGATTACACCGGCACCACTGGAAGGTGAAGAATTCGTCTTTGCCGGCTTGTGTATGCAGCTATCTGGCTATGAAACATGACCGGTGCTATGTATATATGTAGGATGACTCTTTTGACGTTAGAGACACTTATATTTTGAATTTCATTCGCAAATACCACTATATGGTATGCTTGCTTACATAAACAGTCGACCTACCTCCGAGAGTACCTACTGAAGGGAAATTAAAAACCTTTCATTATCCAAGCAAACCTGCGTCATCCATTTAAATCAGCGGCGCGAGAAATTTAGTTGAGTTTTGCTGGATTCTAACCAGCGATCTCTTGTCTCGAGTGGGATCTGTGTACAAACTATCCAGACTCTACTTGGCAGACCGGCCAAGACGATGTACCACCGCACCATTCAACCATGGAGGTGTTAATAGTGTTGCCTGCACTCTAGCAACTGAAGCCTCGGCCCTTTGGCAAAGAGTTTTACGAATTGAGCTTTGTGCGCGCCAAGACTTCGCTTGCGAGAGTGCAGCTGACACTATAAAAACAAGCCGACGATGGAAGGTGTTGTGATCCGCCTCCTGGTGGTGTTCTCTGGTATGGTTTGAGTAGCCTGGGCACCTATTCCACTCGGGAAGGAGACATCTCAGATCATATTTCGCGCGGAGAAAAGTTGATGGATGACGGAGGCATGTCTAGATAACTCAGGGTTTTTGAGATGTTCCCCTGGGTGGGTATTCACGGATGAGGGTTGACTTGGGGTGAAGAAAAAGCCGGCATAACTTCGCAGTGGTACTTGCAAATGAAATCTGAGGCATGAGTGTTCTTCCTCTACGTTGAATCATCTATTCTGTACTTTTCTTTGATATTGTGTCATAGCTAGATAGCTGCATACGCAATTAAAATCTGTTGCAAAAAATAGAAGCCTTGGCCCGCACAAAGCTCAATTTCTAAGAACTCCTTGCCAAAATTGGGAATTCCACGCCCGTCGAATTTATATCTATCCTTTGCACCACCCTACGTATTTGACCTGATCCCTCTCACGTTCATCCCGAAGAATTGTCTCCCTGATTTGTGCACCACGCTTTGCCTCCTCTGCCATGTGTAAATATCGGCGTGGGCGTGTATTGGTGACCGGTTGAGGTCAGACTGAATGTGGTTAATTGAACTACTTGAGTCTATGACTATCTAGCACATTGGGCTCCTCTCTGACATAGGCCACACCATGTACAGTGCTCCTCGCCTCTTACGCTTCTTAAAAGATGCTTGATATATTCCCCTTGATGAATAGCCATTCAGCACTGTATTTACCCGTGAGATTCAGTCACCTTTCCACGGAACCTTCTACCCAAAAAAATAAAAATGGTATCAATGAAAACTGCAAGCGCGGGGAAAAGTTTCAAAATCCTGCAGCCCCAGCCAGGCGAGGCCTAGATACCGGGACCACATGAGGTGCGCATATTCATCTATATCTCCCTTCTTTGTAACAGTCGAGGTCGACTTGATCTAATCCGCCATCTCCGTATCGGGTACTGGGTACGCTCCGGAAACTCATCGGATGGCTTTTCTTCCATGATCAAGGGTGTGTGATGAGAAGGGCCTGGACCCTACCACCTGATTTGATCGTGACTAGCTTCATGATAATGATGATAGGGGAACGTACTTAGGGATGAAGACGATACAGACCGCGAAAGCGATTGGGAACCCTCATGGAAGTGAGGACGGTGTTACTTAATCTTGGCTTTCCAGACTCTTCAATGAGAGCTGGAGGTTTGTAGGGGACACCACTGACAGGTGTTGAGAGGGGTTTCCCCAAAATCATATGTCTCTAATCCTGAAATCTCCGGTATATTACAATCCCTATAGCATTCACTTGACGATCAACGTTCACTCTTATCATTCTAAATACCTCCAGAACTGTTAAACTCAAAAAGGGTGAATATTATTAATTTCGATAATTCATGATGTCGTGAAATCTTTGTGGGTCGAGGCTTCGACTAAAACCAAGCAAACGCTGCTTCCTAGCGTATCCATCTCGTTAAGAATGCTGAAGCCCACAATTTGAGGCGACTAGCTCGGGCTGAGAAGAATGTTTCATCCTCAACTTTGCCTGGCATGTAACCGATGGGCGTTCAAGATTTGTTTGTCCTCATCGTGTTGTCAATGGAAACGAGAGAGCTCGTGTTAACAGGACATAACTAGACAGGGTTAGATTAGGATCTAAGTTTTCTTATTCCGGCTAGATATCTAGCGTCACACTACACCTGTAGCTAGAGCGCACGTTTTGCCTGCAACTATACCGAGACTAACGCTAGCCCCGCCACAGCCACAGCCGGTGGCGGGGTGTTGTTCGATTGGTCCCAAAATCTAGTTTCCATGTAGGCGAGAACTATTTTGTAGGATATCTTTCGAGAAAACCCAAATTTTGATCGATTCCCCCGACCCAAAAGCCTGTCAGCAGTGAAGAATTACCTGATTCGTTGCAGCACTTGCCACTCCTTAACGTCGAGTCACCTTTTAAGTTAGCTCTATCATCATCCCTCCGTGGGGCAATTTAATTCTTAACCTTATCCGTGTCGAGCTAATCATGAAAGAGATCTTAAGATTATCAGGTCATGGTAAGCACCCATCCCAATCTATCGCCGCAGAAGGCAAATTTACCAGCAATAATTTACATGAAGACCACAGACTTGTGACAAAAAAACCAATGTCAAACAGTACTTCTAAGGCGGAGACATGGGTGGTTAATGATCATGATTCGCGTCATAGCTAGCGAGAGCAAAAAGGCTGCATATACTCCTAGTGTGGGCTGTCACCTCCAAAAATAATGCCGAATTATGGTGATAAGTATATGCAGGACATTTTGGCATTCGAGCAGAGAGGCCTCGTGAACTTTTCACTCGAGTATAATCTTGAATACGTTGCGTACTCAGTCCTTCATGATCAAGAACTCAGTAGAGACTTTGTTTCTATTATTTTCTATATTGCGCACGAAGGGATGTGAAGAAAATGAATTTGCAGTTACGTGAAATTTTCAAAAAAAGAATCTTGGGTAACTCAGGCCCAAAAACTTACTGAAAGCTAGTACTGCTACATCCTCTGGTCAAACGCATGAAATGACGACATGATAAACATGTAGCATTTTAAGGTTATAACCCTTGTATGGCAGCTATCCATCAAGTCAATTCACAGCGAATTTTTTTGCAGTTTATTAACAGGCTAGCTATCGCACTGCCAGGTGAGCAGGTAGCGGATAAAAATCACAGGGGTTGACGGTTGACTCAACCTGACAAATCAGTGTTACGGCTACTGTGACAGGGCATTAGTGAACGCACATGGCTACCCATGTTCAGCAACTACTCAGTAATTGATTCAAGCGCTACAGAATGCCACTTGTGCCACGTTAAGTATTTACATGGTAAGCTCCGGAAGCGGCGGAATTGGCGGAAATGACAGCTTCAGATCCGAGCTACAACTAAAGAATATGGCTTAGATAAGCGCTAAGCATGGCACTTCACTCTAGGAAATGGACCTAGCTTGATGACATCACTCCAATCACCAGTCTCTGCAATTAAGCTTCATGGAAATCGATTAATAAAAGCATCTTTTGTTCAGGTCCTTAAGCTTCGATTCTCTATACTAATCTTCATAGCATCCCTCAACCTGTACAATGATCTGCAATAACTAGTGCGTTGAGATATACCATAGATCCTTACTACCTTGCCGGCATTCTAACTTGGGCAAAGTTATCAATACATTTATATCGACTTTCTCGACTCCCAAAATCTCCCCAAATTAAATAACTAAAGATTCTCCTATCATGACATTCCTATATATTTGAGCCCATTGGCGCCTGTTTTATTTCACAGAATAACTTTTAATAATCGGCTCTTCAAATTTTGGAGTTTTGTTTAGGTCAGGAAATTATTACCAATATTTCGATTGTTATTCAACTTCAAAATGAGTTCAGGATAAGTCTGGGATACTATCCACCTCAAGGCCTGCTTAGACTTTGACTAGTATTACAACCCTTAGTGTGAAGCGCAAGTAGGAAAACGGCATCAAAGCTAAAGGCACTTCGACTTTATTTACACAGGTGGCTTTGAGCCATTCAGATAAAGTCTCATGAGATAAATTAATAGCTATTATCGCTAAGACTTGGGAAACACCAACCTTTAGTCACGCGCATACAATCAAACACGCTTATTAGCTGTGGAAGTTTCCCATCTGGCAGATATATTACACATCGATCCCGAACGCATTTTCTTCTGATTTGATGACTACGGTCTAGAGTAAGTAGTACACGAAGAAATAGAAGATTTTTCCTTTTGTATTGACGTTTTCAGAATATCAGCGCCTCTCGCCAAATATTAGTCGTCAGCTTTGGAGTAATCTCCAATTATGCCTACACCTAACACCATGGTTGATTCAAACTCTTCTTCCAACGCAATCAAACTGGAGGGAGGGGTTCTGGATGGTTCAAGCCCGGTCGTGTATAACCCCAATAACCCTATCTCATTATTCATCGTTCAGGTATGATGAGAAATCCCCAATGCCATTCTATCTAGCAGATTTCAAATAAAATCTATATTTCTAGCGCAGCCTAAGCTATTCATAAAGATACCTCAAGTTATCATCTGTGGGAGAATGTAAATTCTGACACTACGACCAGGCTGGAATTATAATAATATCATGTCACCTACTTCACCTCCCTTTGAGCAAACTCCGCCAACCTAGAGTCATCTCGGAGGTTATTGGTGGAATAATTTTGGGTCCATCCGTTCTGATGCGTATTCCTGGGTTTGAAGCGACAATATTTCCCGCGGAATCGATTCCAAATTTAAATTTAGTCGCCAACATCGGCCTAATACTCTTCTTATTTCTTGTAGGCCTCGAAGTCGAGATGCGTATGTTTCTCACAAATTGGCGCCTAGCTTTGAGTGTCGGAGTTGCTAGTATGGTGCTTCCATTTGGGCTTGGCTGCGCTATTTCGTGGGGACTTTTCCAGGAATTTGATACGGAGTTCAAAGCAGTAAAAATTGGAGTTTTTATGCTTTTTGTTGGCACCGCTTTCAGTGTAAGCAATTTTTTCTCTTGCTCTTTTATACTTTGATGAGCTTAATCCAAGATTCTTCCATCAAACTTACCTTCTAACTTGGAGTTAGATCACGGCCTTTCCAGTCTTATGCCGAATATTGACTGAGTTAAAGCTAATATCTTCTCCTGTTGGCATTACTGTCCTCGCTGCTGGTGTTGCAAATGATGTAACTGGCTGGATTCTTCTAGCACTTTGTATTGCACTGATTAACAACGGGTCCGGAATGTCGGCACTATATGTTTTACTATGCTGTATAGGCTGGCTTCTTTTCTTGGTCTTTGCCATCCGTCCAGTCTTCATATGGCTACTTCGACGTTCAGGGGCTTTTCAAAATGGGCCTAATCAAAGTATGATCATGATAACCTTGCTTCTAGTATTTTTATCATCATGGTTTACGGGGATTATCGGAGTTCACGCTATATTTGGTGCTTTTCTTGTTGGTCTTATCTGCCCGCGTGAGGGTGGATTCGCAGTGAAAGTCACAGAAAAAATTGAAGATCTTGTTTCGGTAATATTCCTGCCATTATATTTTGCTCTTTCTGGACTTAGCACGAACTTAGCACTCTTAAATAATGGGATTACTTGGGCATATGTGATAGGTGTTATAGTCGTCGCTTTCTTCGGTAACTCTTTCGATTCATTCCTACTTTCAAATCTAATATAATTTCTAGGTAAAATAATCGGCAGTACGCTTGCTGCCCGAGCATTCAAGATGCGATGGCGAGAAAGTTTAACTGTTGGTGTGTTGATGAGCTGTAAAGGTTTGGTCGAGATAATTGTTTTGGTCAATAAATTTTTTTTCTATCTCGGTTCTTTGTACTAACGATTTCTCAAGAATATTGGACTACAAGCAAATATCCTCTCTACTAAAATATTCACTATCTTTGTCCTTATGGCCCTGGTAACTACCGTCACCACAACACCCTTAGCCATGAGTCTTTATCCACCACACTACCAACGAAGGCTAAAAGATTTGAAGTTCAAGAATTCTTCCGAATGTGAAAGAAATCCATCTCGAGATGAAAGTATAGGTAGCCAAGAGAACTTAATGACGAAACAAATCGTACCTGCCCAAAAATTGCTTGTTTACCTGAGGCAAGGTATTCTTCCAGGTTTGTTTACGTTTATTGCACTACTCGGTGGCGATAAGCCAACATCATCTGTTAAAAAAATACAGATCGGTTTGGAGTCTTTGGAGGACTCTGAACCTAAAATTGTGCCAGTTCTTTCAGAATATGCTATGTTGAAGAAGCCACTTGAATTACATGGTCTCCACTTGCTTGAGCTGACTGATCGAACATCATCTGTAATGCAAGGGTCCATGGTCGGCGAGAGAAATTATCGAGATCCTGTCCTTGACGCTTTTCTAACGTTTGCACGACTTCATAATTTCGCTGCGTCAGGAACAGTATCGCTAGTTTCAGAAACTGAATACTCTGAAACACTGATAAGAGAGGCGGAGAATCGACTCGCGGATCTTATATTAATACCATGGTGTGAAGCTTCAACATTAACAGATACGGATGCTGTTCACGAGGGCTTATCGTGTATTTCTCAAGATGCATTTGTTCGCAAGACGCTAGAAGTTGCCCCAAAAAACATAGCAATCTTCATCAACCAAGGACTCCAAAGCCAGAATTTGAATAGCGTGCCACTTTTAGCACCAATTGTCGATTGGTCTCATCACGTAGTTCTACCATTTTTCGGTGGGCGTGATGACCAATACGCGTTTCGATTTATTTTACAACTTGCTCAATGCAATTGTAATACGAAAGTGTCTATTATATATCTAAAAGTACAACCATCACAACACCACAATAACGCACCTAGTGAAATTTCTCACGAGATATCGAATATGGAAGTAAACTCGACACAAAAACCTAAAACTGATGCAATAAGTAACGAGGCAAGCGTAACTGATGATACTGTCTTTCTTAAAAAGCACCGAGAAATGCTACCTAAGGCACTCTCTGAACGTGTCGAGTTTTTCGAAGTTAAGACCACTTCACCACTTTCCGACTGTATCTCGCACGTTAAACTGAAAGTAGGGAATCACCAGAATGCGGGAGATATAGTAATCTGTGGAAGGAAGAGTTTACAGCTGCGATTTAAAGAGGATTTTGATTTTCCTAATTCAACTTATAATCCAGAGCTCAGAAAGACTCTCGGGATTGTTGCCGAATCATTAATTTCGATATCTATTCCAGCGAGTTTGCTCGTCTTCCAATCTAGTAAGGAAGTTCTTGATTCTAAACCGACATGACGTAACTAAGCATGTTTTATGACCCCAACTGGCTTATCAGTCAACCAGGGGATTGCCTAATGTAATTGACCATCATTCAAATTAACAAATTTGGGTGAGATACTTCTAGCATATCTGTAACCTTCACAATACAAGAAATATTTATTTAATCCAACAGGAATGGCAATTAAATTTGTAAATCCTAGAGAAAATTCAAAACTACGAATATTCGAGTTTAGGGTCCAAAGTGGTGACGAACAATATTAACATTTACTCAAATGTTTCCTATTTATTATAACCCTATGCCTAGTGCTATCTTGTAATACGTGTCTAGCTCTATGAGAATTTCTCAATGATAGTAAACTCCCAAAAAATTGTTATAGTCTCGACTAGGGGAAATTTTATTTAACTTTACTTCCTAACTCCTGACAGAAAAGAGTCTAGCAACTGTACCGTATAGCATAGATACGTCCGGAACGTACAATCTAGCGGCAACAACTGAAGAACTCAAGTATTGTGATCGGTGTGTTACGAAATAGACCCGTGAGGTTGGCATCGGCTGCAACAGTACCGAGCTAAGCGACACATGCCATAAAACGCTGGTAACTACAAAGATAGCTTTGATGACGTTGGAAACTAATGCCGTGGCTTTCAAGGCAATGACGTTGAGCAAGTTATAATCAAGTATAGAAAGGAGAATTGCTTCCGATTTACAATATAGAATAGAATAATCAAGTGACTTTTACTACGGACTTGCTCTAGTTTCTACCATCATTATATGATCACGCGACACGCTATACCTTCATAGAGTGCTCGAGGGTTAATGCAGTGTAACCAGGATTTATACGTTTACCGAGCAGCCATTGGATTGCTTGCATAAGCCAAAGGGCTTTTGCAAAAAGCGGGCTGATTAATTCAGATTCTGATTTTGAGTGCAGCAATTTAGCCACAACACAATACATGACACGATTTGTTAAGCGAAACTCCACACGCTTTCCACATGACCAACGAGGGCTCATTAAGAGTGACAAGCTATCATGGCGTGCCCTTGCTAAGTAACCCATATCTTTGTTGGTAAACGGGTCACGCGGGGATGCTGTACTCTTGATGAATTCTTGAGGAGCGTCAGCATGGTGTTTCAATACAACGTCATGCAAAGAATGATAAATCTGTGATCAAATTATTTGTATTCCACGACTTCGAAGGTTAAACGAGAATTGGCGTGTGGTCAAGGTTCTAGTTTCAGCGCATTACACTATCTCCGATACGGCAGGAGTAGTGGGACAAAAACTTTATACCTGACAGTGGTGCCTCCTACGAACCTCCGGCTCTCACTGTAGAGTCTGTAGAGCCGAGATCGAGTAGGACGGTCGTCCTCACGTCCATGAGAATTCCCAAACCGTCACCTTGTCTATGTCGTCTTCATCTCTCAGTAAAATCCCCCGGCACCATCATGTAGCTAACCATGATCTGATCAGACGTTAGCGACGAAGCCGTACTCATACCCACCCTTGTTCATGGAGGAGAAACCATCAGTTGAGCTTCTGGAGCGTACCCGGTCGTCACGGATCCGGGTTAAATGGCTCGAGCAACAGATACCTGTTAACATTTCTATCTTGATGTCGACCCGTACAAACATACCGTTTAATAGTAACTCATATTGATACTCGGGATTGCGATGGATAGCAGAGATTGATGGTGTTTATGGCAGTGCGGGATCTAGTAATTAGTGACAGGGATAGGACACGTGTATATATATATCGCACACTTGATTCCTCTTTAATAGGATGATGCTTCCGACTACATTCACAATGCCCATACCTACTCTGGGCTAATCACCCCTTACTATATCGGTCCTATCTTCTAATTAATGCCCTTTTCGCCCTTTTATCTTAAGTAACAGGTCATGATATTCTTCGTCTTGCTGGCCATCATCAAGCTCAGAGTTATGGACAGATTAAGTCTAACAATACCTGTTGGCAGTTTATATCCTAAAGGGGAAACACATAAATGTGATTACATAAGGGTTAAACAATCCAAGTCCCTGTTCAATGCACGGGCCCTACTATTCATACATCTCTCAAGTCTAACGTCCTTTGCGGTATCTGGATACAGGACCATGAAGATGGAGAGCCGCGTTAAGAAGAGAAAGCGAAATGATAAGAGAGTTAATAGAAGATATCAAACAAGATTCACCATGTCAAATTGATAATAAAGGCTGCGTGGAGCGCTGCGCTGCTTTCTGACAAATATGATGTTTTTTTCGAGCTCTACTAGTTATTAAGGAAATAATGACCACCCAGACATTGAGGTTATAGAGAGCATTAATTCATGTAACTACTGAAGTGAAACTAAGTACAGAATTTGCAATCACGTGCGTATCAACAACGTGGCCTACTCGATAGCCCCAATTCTTCTAGCTTCTAACACTATTGTTAGTTTATTTTAATTCATATTGTATTCAGCTATATAGCTATGGCAAGGTACTATGACATTGTGCCTATGCCGTCTAGCATAGGCTACAGTTATAACTCGGTTGTAAGGCCGTTACATCTGCACTCGATACGGCGATGGTTGACTGGATTAGGTTCGCCTTTTATCAACTTTGAAATAAGGGACAATAGGCACAAAATCATTTTGGATCGTCAGATGTCGATGTGTAAATATACGTTGAGTATTGCAAAGAAAATATAATGTAAGTGTAGATGTAGATGAAAGATAATTGGCTATCTTAAAAGATGTGCTTCCTATAGAGCCTGCCCATCCTCACTTCCAGTCCAGATCACTTATAAACTATCTATCCAAAGTATACGTACCTCATCCATTAACTTAGCAACACGTCAATATTTAATCGTCAAGTTATATCTAGTTACAGTCCCGTTTACAGAATGTTACAATGACGTTCGCGATAGTGGTGTTTTCTTATGCTAAATATGTTCCATGCATCTACACTCCTGAGATGTGTGATTGCTAAACATTCATTGATGTGACAGTTCAACTCATATTTATCAAACTGAACCTCTCGCCCTTTGAATCAAAGACCTTCGGATTATACCCCAAGGAGAAATAGTAGCCTGAAATGTATCCAAGCATCTCTGCATATTTCTAGCCCTGGTCTAATCCAAACAGCCTCGACCTTTATAAAGAAGAGAAATGTAGATGGATATGCGTACTTCATGTGGTCCCTGTGTCTAGGCTACAGTTTATTTGAGCCATCTTCCCGCGCACACAGTTTCCATTGCTGCTATTTCTATTGTTTTTGAGTAGAAGGTTCCGTGAGAAAGGTGATTGGCTTCTGAGAATGAGAATTGAGCCAAATGGCTATTGAGAAAGGTGTGTTTCCTGTGTAACTTGAATCTTGGACTATCTAGCACATTGGGCTCTTCTCTGGCACGGACCACACCTTGTACAGTGCTCCTTGCCTCTTTGTTATTTGAAAGATCATTGATATATTCCCCGTGATAAATAGCCATTCAGCTCAGTGTTTACTCGTGGAATCTAGCCACCTTTTCCGCGGAACTTTCTACCCAAAAAAAATTAAAAATAGTAGCAATGGAAACGGCGTGCGCGGGAGAATAGCTCAAATAAACTGTTGCCTAGACAAAGTGACCACATAAGGTGCGCATATATTGTAAAATTCGGATGAATTCTTATTTTCTCCTATATGAGCAGGTCTATATATACATAAAAATTAGTCCTAGTTTCTTTCATGTCCTTCCACCTAACTATGCGCATTCCCAACTAGAATTGTTGAGATTCGTCTTATCTCCACCTAGCGTATACCACTTCCCAGTTAATAGTTGGCACATCCAACTTCATTGTTACACAGCGAACTAAGAGCAACATCATGAGGAATTCTCATTACATCATCTACTAATTCAACAGATATTATATCACAGCAGCATATTCATCTGTATCTCCCTTCTATGTAATAGTCGAGGCCGACTTGATCCAATCAACCATCGCCGTAATGGGTGCTGGGTACGCTACGAACACAACGGATGGCTTCTCCTCCATGATCAAGGGTGGGTGATGAGAAGAGCTCCGACACCACCATCTGATCTGATCGTAATTAGCTTCATGATAATGGTGATGGGGGGGATGTGTTGAGAGATAAAGACGATACAGACGGCGAAAGCGATTGTGAATCCTCATGGAAGTGAGGACGGTCTTACTCAATCTTGGCTTTGCAGACTCTACAGTGAGAGCTAGAGGTTTGTGGGGGACACCACTGACAGGGGTTGAGAATAGTCCCCAAATGGCTATTGATCATGGGTATTAAATGAGATATATTTTTTCGGAATCAATAGATGATAGGATCACTGCACAAGGTGCGCCCAGAGCTAGATGGCATTTTTTTTAAATTATATTTGAATTTGTTTATACTGTTCAGGTACCATATAGGCCCATGCAGGTATATATAGCCATAGTATTTACATGTAGGAAAGCAATCCGATGAAAACCGCCTGATCCTATCTCTCTTTCGTCTATCGGGTATCTAGGGTTTCCTTCAGGAAGCGCGCTCAAACGGTTCATCCAGTGTGAATTGTTGAAATTGGCGCTACTTGGCAATGAAGAGTCACACTTATACGGAACGTAATAAGGTTCTATTATTACTAGCCACATTCATGACGACTCATACACTGACCAGCCTCCCAACTATTCAGGATAAATAGGTGAATCGTGTCCTTCACTCAGATGTAGTAATTAGTTTAAATAGCGCTCTGATACTAAGTGGGTTTAATCAACAACTCTCCACTATAGTTTTCAGACTCTTCAATCTCCCAACTCGCTTCACTAGGTGATAAGAAATACAAACCTAACAGCTTACGCTTCTCTATACAACTTCCATTACAGCATGAATTACGTCCTATCCTTTTCCCAATCACTTCATACTTTCATCGAATGCTATCTCAGCTTCTTCAGCAAGCCAGAACTTTTCAAACCAACCTGTTCGGATTAGGTCCTGGTCAACGAGGTATGGCCTAATTGTGCTAGGTTGCAGGCTACTGTTACAATTA